TCAATTAAAGGCGCGGGGAGGGGGGTTGAGGGGGCGGCCCCACGGCGAGCGGAAAAAAGTGATGATTCAATTAAGGGCAAAAATTCTAAAAAGCCGGGAGGTTGTGGGGGGCTGCCGCTGCCGCCCCCGCACGCGGGGCGGGGGGGGGGGTGGGGGGGGCCTGCAGCGCCCCCCCCCCCCCACGATGATCGAAAAATGATGAGCGGGGGGTTGGGGGGCGGGGTGGGCGGCAGCAGACGACGATCGAAAAAGTGATGTTTCAATTAGGGGCAGGGTGCGGATTTATTTTAAGTTTGTTCTTCGTTTTTTCGTTTTTTTTTGTTTTTCGTCCGGGCAAATAAAATGTCGTATTTTACAGCATTTTCTCGCGAAGAATTGATGATTCAACTAGGGGTGCAATTCATTTAATCTCTGTAGAAAATCTAACACGTAGCGGGGGGTTTGGGGCTGCCGCCCCGTGATGTCGGAAGAAGTGGTGATTCAAGTAGGGGTGCAATGATTCAAGAAAGGGTGTGATAGAATTTAAAAGGCAGCGGGAGGGTTGTTCGAAGAAATGCATACATACAGACAGACATGGACTGCACAGATTACCTAAAATGTCGTATTTTGCAATATGTTCTCGCGAAATTGGTACTCGAAAAAGTGATGATTCAAACAGGGGTGCAATTCAATCTCTGCCGGGCCAGTAAAGTGTCGTATTTTACAGCATTTTCTCGCGAAATTGACGCATTTTACGCTAGCCCGTCAACATCCCTAGCATCGTGTTCAACATCCCCCGCATGTCCGACCAACATCCCTAACATCACCAACAAATCGTGTGACGGGGTCAAAGAAATGATGATTCAAGTAGGAGGGCATTTCAATCCCTATTAAAAAAATAAAATTAAAAGTAGCGGGGTGGTTGGGGCGGGGGGCGGCAGCCCCCCCCATGATGCAAAAAAGAAGTGATGATTTGAATAGCGGTGCAATTCAATGTCTGCAAAAAGTCTAAAAAGTAGCGGGGGGGTTGGGGGGGGGGCGGCAGCCCCCCCCCATGATGTTGGAAGAATTGATTCAACTAGGGGTGCAACTAATTAAATATTAAATCTCTGTAACAATTTTTAACACAGCGGGGGGGTTGGGGGGGCGGCAACCCCCCCCAATGATGTCGGAAGGAGTGATGATTCAAGTAGGGGTGCAATGATTCAAGAAAGGGTGTGATAGAAGCTTCCCCTATGATGTTCGAAGAACTGCATACATACGGACATACATGGACTACACAGATTACCTAAAGTGTCGTATTTTGCAGCATGTTCTCGCGAAATTGGACGCTCGAAAAAGTGATGGTTCAAACAGGGGTGATTCAATCTCTACAAGAAATCTAAAAAGTAAGGGGGGGGGAGGCGGCAACCCCCCCCATGATGTTTGAAGAAGAGTTGATTCAAATAGGGGTGCAATTACTCTGCAAACAATCTAAACAGTAGCGGGGTTCCCCCCCCATGACGCTCGAAGAAGTGATGATTCAAATAGGGTGGTGGTGATGCTGATGATGCGGAAAGCCAAATCCAAAAACCAATAGCCAAAAAGCCTGAAGATGCGAAAAGCCAAAGCCGAAGCCGCGCAAACCAGCGAAAGGATGCAAAAATGCAAAAACGCTACCTGCCGAAGAGGAATTGGGAATGCAGAGGATGCGAAAAGCTCAAAAGCCACCAAAAGCCGCATAAACCAGCAAAAAAACCAAAAAGCCCAGAAGCCCAGAAGCCGAGAACCGAAAAGCCAAGAAGCCAAGAAGCCAAGAAGCCAAGAAACCAAAAAGCCAAGAAGCCCAGAAGCCCAGAAGCCGAGAAGCCAAGAAGCCGAAAAGCCAAGAAACCAAGAAGCCGAGAAGCCAAGAAGCCGAAAAGCCAAGAAGCCAAGAAGCCAAGAAGCCAAGAAGCCAAAAAGCCAAGAAGCCAAGAAGCCAAAAGCGAAAAAAAAAAAAAGAAGGAAAACTCGTAAAATAAATACCACTCCAAAGAAAAGTCTAAAAAGTAGCAGGGAGAGGGGTTGGGGGGAAGGGGGCCGCAGCGCCATGACGATCGAAGTGCAAAGTAGCGGGGGGGCGTCGGCAGCCCCCCCCCCCAAATGTTTTTTGCAGAAGTGATGATTTGGATAGGGGTGCAACTCAATGTCTACAAAAAGTCTAAAAAGTAGCGGGGGGGTTGGGGGGGGGCTGATGTTGGAAGAGTTGGTGATTCATCAACTAGGGGTGCAACTAATTAAATATTAAATCTCTGTAGAAAATCTTAAACGCAGCGGGGGGGTTGGGGGGGGGGGGCGGCAGCCCCCCCCATGATGCCGGAAGGAGTGATGATTCAAGTAGGGGTGCAATGATTCAAGAAAGGGTGTGATAGAAGCTTCCCCTATGATGTTCGAAGAACTGCATACATACGGACATACATGGACTACACAGATTACCTAAAGTGTCGTATTTTGCAGCATGTTCTCGCGAAATTGGACGCTCAAAAAAGTGATGGTTCAAACGGGGGTGATTCAATCTCTACAAGAAATCTAAAAAGTAAGGGGGGGGGAGGCGGCAACCCCCCCCCATGATGTTTGAAGAAGAGTTGATTCAAATAGAGGTGCAATTACACTCTGCAAACAATCTAAACAGTAGCGGGGTTCCCCCCCCATGACGCTCGAAGAAGTGATGATTCAAATAGGGTGGTGGTGATGCTGATGACGCGGAAAGCCAAATGCAAAAACCAATAGCCAAAAAGCCTGAAGATGCGAAAAGCCAAAGCCGAAGCCGCGCAAACCAGCGAAAAGATGCAAAAATGCAAAAACGCTACCTGCCGAAGAGGAATTGGAAAGCTCAAAAGCCACCAAAAGCCGCATAAACCAGCAAAAAGCCAAAAAGCCTAGAAGCCCAGAAGCCGAGAACCGAAAAGCCAAGAAGCCGAAAAGCCAAGAAACCAAGAAGCCGAGAAGCCAAGCAGCCCCCCATGATGATCAAGAAAGGGATGACTCCTTTCGGGCCAAAAACCATCATGATGATTGTTAAAGTGATGATTCAAATAGGGGCCAAAAAGCTGTTAAAAAGTAGGAGGAGGAGGAAAATATGATGGTTCAATTCAGGCACAAAAAAAAGTAGCGGGGCGGGGGGGGCGGTGATCCAAAAAAGCTATGATTGAAACAGGGCCGCTCCCAAAAAAAAATAGATATGAAAACGCAGGGGGGGGAGGGGTGGGGGGCGGGGGGGGGGTTGGGGTGGGCGGCAGCCCCCCCATCATAGTCGAACAAGTGATGATTCTAAGGGCAAAAACTCGAAAAAGATAGCGGGGGCGTGGCCCCCCCCCAATGATGATTGCTGATTCAATTAAAGGCGCGGGGGGGGGGAGGGGGGTTGGGGGGCCCCCCCCATGATGATCGAAAAAGTGATGATTCAATTAAGAGAAAAACATCTAAACAGCAGCAGGTGGTTAAGGGGGGGGGCGGCAGCCCCCCCATGATGATTGAAAACAAAGCGATGCCCCCCCCTATGATGATCGAACATGGGGCAAAAAAATCTAAACAGCAGCGCGGGGGTTAGGGCCCCCCCCCCCAGTGATGATTGAAAAAGTGATCCCCACCAATGATGATCGAAAAACAGTGATGATTCAATTGGTGCAAAAAGGTCCAAAATAGCGGGGGGGGGTGGGGTTTGGGGCTGAAAAAAAAATCAAAAAATAGCGGGGGTGGGGGCATGATGTTCAACAAAGTGGATCGAAAAGTTAGGGGCAAAGAGTGTAAAAAGTGGCTCTCGCATGATGATTCAAAAATGATGATTCAAATTAAAGGCGCGGGGAGGGGGGGTTGGGGGGGGCGGCAGCCTTCCCTGTGCAAACATCTATGCATTTCATTCTACACTTGCCCCACGCATGCCTCTAGGCAATCAAATTGTCTACTTTCCGTGCGCGTGCCTCTATGCATTTCACTGTCTACTTTCCCTGCGCATACCTCGGCACTTGCTCTACGCGTGCCTCTCTGATTTGCACTGTGCACTTTGCTTATGCATGCCTCTATGCATTTCACTGCCCTATTTTCTCTGCGCAGTTGAGCTGCGCAGAACTCAACGACTCTACTACTGCGCAATGCTTCTAGGGAAAATGTAGATACGAGCGGGCTTTCAAGCAGCAATCTTGAGCTGGGAACGAAAAAAATGTAGTATATTTTTCCATTCATACCGTTATGCTGTTGCGTGTTATGTTTTGCGCTTGTGTAATTTGTTTTCGCGCGTACTCGGCTTAATTCTGCGCTGATGTTTGTTCCTTATCAAGTCTTTGTTCAGTTTGAACCGAGAAGTTAAAACACAAACACATGCAGGAAGGATTGTGGCGCGATAGGCATTGAGCGATTGCGGAGGCGTGTTTTATTTTTTATCTGTGTGTTTAATTTTCTTGCGCGATTCTTGCCCTGATACTTGTTCATGGGCTTTGCAAGCCAAGAACTAAATAAGGTAGAAGTTGTTACGCAAAACGAGGCTTGGGGGTTGCGCGGGCTTGTTTAGTTTGTTATACGTGAGTTTTATTTTCCTACGCAATTTGCTTATTTCTGCGCACGCATTTGCTTATTTTTGCTTTCGTCATTTTTTATTTCCCCGCGAGCGCTTTTATTTCCTCGCGGAACGTCCCCCTGATAGCAATCACCACATGAGGTGATCCAAATCTCACCTGGCCTAGCACGTCTGTTCCTAGCTTGCCGCTCAGAAGATACCCGCTGTGAGGCGAACACCTCGTGGTTGTACATGATCGTAGGAGTCGTCGACTCATCGCCAGCTGAACTGCTGGCCTGCTCCAACGGCTGTTGAGCAGATTGCACAGGCGCCGTCCATGTCAAACTGCGCCTGACCCATCTCAGGAACTCCTCAATCACTCGTAGTGCCACATAGCCACCCAGGAGCATGAGCATGAAGTAGAGTGAATCTCGTAGATCTTCGGGATCTTTTCCTTGGGCTCGGGCTCCTGGAATCAGCATCGCTGCACATAGCAAAGGTCGCGTACTCAGCGCAGCACATGCTGTGCCTGCAAAATTGGGCCTTCCCTCCAGAACTTCCTTCTTGACCTGTCATCGGCCTTGTACAGGTCCTCCTCGCTGATCTCCGCCAAAGTGGGCAGTCGCCGAACAAGTGCAGGATGCTTGTCCTCATTCCAGAAGGGCACATAGCCGGAGCTCAGAACTTTATTGAGCACGAACGAAACCATAGGCTTAGTCAGAGCATCTGCCGTCATACACTGTGTTGGGATGAGCATGAAGTTTCGTAGACGCCCAGTAACTCGTGCCTCCTTGATCGCCAGCAAGTACAGGCGCTGCAACTTGTCCTGTGGCAAAGACTTGCTCCCTGTGGCCAACTCAAAGAAGTCGCGGCAATCTGTAGCCGCATCCACTGGAAACAGAGGTGACCCAGATTCCTGGTAGAGGATCAACTTCTCGAGGGTAGGTTGTTTGTCCGGCAGCCATAGTTCAGTGAGCCGAGTAGCCACCATGCTCGATGCCTCCATGCCAGAAATAGCCGCCAATGTCTCTGCGTGTGAGGTGCTGTAAGATACCCTCTTCGCCTTGCCACCATGCGCGTACAAAACGTGAGCGTAGTTAAGCTTAAGGGCAGCGGAATGCCGCCCAAGCTAACCACGGCGCGGAGCGCTACCACCCTCCCGAGTGACTGCGCCGCATGCAGCCGCACCTCGAGTGGGATCTCGAAGTGGGCTTGCATGCGGAGCAGCCGCCCGTACACCAGCCGCATCGCAGCAAAGGCGAGCGGCTCTCCTGCAAACACAAACACACAGACAACCAAGCAACAAAAGCACAGTCAGTCACACACGCCTTCATACAGCAGGCGAAGCGAGGCCCGCCCACTCGAAAGTTGCAGCGTGAGTCCGGCTGGACGGCGCAGTCGCAGCACCCACAGCAAACAAGCGAACGCAACCAGCTTCATGGCCATAGTGAAGTGAATAACTAACAAAGTCAAAGTTGCTAGGCGCTAGCGCGAACGATAGTTTACAAGGTACAAGGCACAGGCAGCGTGCGCGCAATGCCATCAAGGTATAACAAGGCCAAACCCTACAACCTAGATCAAGCGAGCAGTCGCGGCAATGAGTCGAATCAAACGCTTCTCGGGCGCTGCAGCAAACGCCATGTGTTTTCTCATGCCCATTCAGTGTTTTCAGTTGGCTTTCACAGCGGTCGCCTCAACATAGAGTTCGCGCGAGCACGAGCAGCATAAACCAAAACGCAATGCTCAAGTCCTTGCATGTCCTGCGGATGTCAGCCATGGGTGGGTGGGTGTGGGTGTGGGTGTGGGTGTGGGTGTGGGTGTGGGTGTGGGTGTGGGTGTGGGTGTGGGTGTGGGTGTGGGTGTGGGTGTGGGTGTGGGTGTGGGTGTGGGTGTGGGTGTGGGTGTGGGTGTGGGTGTGGGTGTGGGTGTGGGTGTGGCGGGCGGGTGGGTGGGTGGTGCTGAATGCACATCATGCAGAAAATTATGCGATTGAGTGTAACCAGCAGGGTTTACCTTTTGACGAAAATAACGAGTATGCAAGCAAAAATGGCAGTGTTCCTTGTGGTTTCCCTTTAAGCCCCCCCTCCAACCAGATGCCTACATATACTAGGTCCCCCCGTAGTGCCCTTTTACATTTTTTGGGGGGGCTTCCCCTACTAAAATGGCTACAGAAAAAAGTACCCTTATTCTAACCTCTCTACTGGAGGACCTAGGACATATTAGTTTTTAACCGATAGCTGCATATCACAAAATGACGCTGGAGCATCTCAAGAATATTTGCTGCCGCCTCTTTTGCACCATAATTTGTCCCACCGCCCCCCCAGACCACTCCTAAGGGGGAAATGGATGTATTTGCTGATTCTCTGTGCCTTTGTATGCTGCTATGCTTGGTCAGGGGCATTTTTACATCTTTTGATACCATGTGTTCCTTGCCAGGGGAGCTTCATCTTGAACGATTAATGGCATTTCTTTCGAAAACCCTGGTGTTTCATGCTGCGCTTTTAGGAGACCGCGTGTGAGCTATTCTAGTTTTGAACGTATGCAAGCCAAGAAGATGAGCGAGTTTACGCCGCCTCTGACAAATCGAAGGACACTCGCAATACCAGCATATTTTTCTGCAGAAAGCAACACATTCATGTTTTGAAGGATCCGTTTGAGGGACAGTTATGCCATTAAACCGGCTGGGTGCGCTTCATTTTCAACTGGGGGCAAAACACATGCCCGCGGCTCCGGGCACGTTTTGGTCACTTCGAGTCTGCGCGCTGAGCCGCTCTGGGCCTGAGGGGGGGCCGTGTTCTCCCGATCTCGAGCCTCATGTCGGTTTTGAGGAGGCTCTTCCGTAGCAATCGTTCCAAAACCTGAAAAACAACGGCAGAAGCAGAGGGTCTTGGGCAAGTTTTCCGGGAGCAAGAAATCCAAAACCAGAAATAAGGGATCCTCAACTCAAGTAAAACCTGCATGAGAGCTCAGTTGAACCTGGAGGCAGCTGTATTCCACCGCGCGAAGCGAAGATGGGAGGCTGGCCAAACGCTTATCACAGAATCCACACCATGCATATAATGTGCGAGTTTTCTGAGGGAAGAATCTTGCAACCTTGCTGTGTTGGCTCACTCTGGTGCCTAGGAGCAAAAGCAAGCAGCAGGTTTCGCTTTCAAAGGAGCCATCCGCTTGAGTCACAATCAAACCCGGTATTAAAGCGGTCTACCCAGAACTGGCTGGGACTGCCCCTTACTAACCTTCATCTACCCGGGTGTTGATTGTGGCTCACTTGTGTTTTTGTGTTGGGAAGCTTTCGTGTGCTCCCTTGCCTTCACGAGGGACTGCCTTGAACCAATTCAGAGCCGACTCGCAAGGGACTGAACCCGCCAAACCATGTCCCAGCCCGCCCACGGGATTCTAGCACATGGATGGATTTGCGTTGCGGGGGGGGGAGGGGGAGGGGGGTTCGGGAAACAATTTAGGCCCTAAACCAAAGCCTTAAACCCCCAAGCCCACAAGACTCCAAACCTACAAGAGCAACCCACACCTCAAACAATATATAAATATATACAGAACATATTGGCGGTCTAGCTGTTAGGGGCAGCTTTCCGTCCCCCGAAACCACCAATTGGAATCGGAAGCTGATTGAAAAAAAGACAAGCTCACCTTCTAAGTCCTCCAGAGAGGTTAGAATCTGGGTACCAACTTCTTGGTGTAGTCTATTTTTAGTGGAGGGAGGGGAGGGCACTGCTGGGGGACCTAGCCTTAAAAAAGAAAAAACACCACCCGAGCCTTCTGGGACGCCTTTTGAATTCTTTCTGGGGCTGACTGGGCCCACCGGGCTCGCAGGGCCGCGTGGCAGGCCTTTCGGAAGGTCTGCAGGTGGGTTGCGTTGGGTATGTCAACCAATCCAAACCACCAAGTGGGAAACTGAACAGTGGGAAGCTGCTTCTAGTCAGCTTCAGGTGAGGTTGCTTTAAGGTGAGGTGTTTTTTTTGCTTGTTTAAGGTGAGGTGGCTTTTTGTGTTTAAGGTGAGGCGTTGGTGTTCTTCTTGTCTTTATAAGTTTTGGAGTTTGTTTGTTATATCTGTCTAGCTTCCCACTAGTCGGTGGTTTGGATTGGTGGCTTGGTTAAGGACAGTTTCCCATCAAACCATTTACCCTCTTCAAGAATCAGGGGTTCAAATCCAATCCAAACCACCAATCCAAAAAAGCTACATGATCTATATGGGTCTGTCGTTTTTTTGGGGGTACCCGTTTTGGGTGATGGTTTAAAGGGAAACCACAAGCAACAACATCAGTTTGGAGAGTCCCCTAAAAAGACGGCCCCATATGACTAAACCCAACAAACCAACATGTCAATGATCTTCTTTGGGAGCCCTCTGCGGTATTATGGTAACTGCCAGGACCTCTTACCCACAGATGCAATTGTTACATGGCCCATTCCGAAACCTGAGCTCGTTTAAACTAAGGGATCTCCAAGCATCGTGGTGAGCGCTCATCATGGGGGAATTGTGCCTACTTTCACCCAACTCTACATCAGTCATACTCAAAACCCGGTATCAAAATGGTCTACCCAGAATCATGCTCCCAGAATGAAGAAGGCGGCCGAAGCGATTTGTATGGCATTTATCGTCATCTACTCAGGTTTTGAGCAAGTGGCTCACATACTCTCTGGTGCACGCCTTTGATCTTCGGACCAATCACCCCGGATTTTGGCGCGCAGCCTGGGTGTTTTCCGCGGGAGCGCTGTTGCGCGATTCTCTTTCTGGGTGCAAGAGCCCAAATTTGGGTGTGAATTTCCATAGAGGACCCATCGTGCAAGCATCATTTTGGTGGGACTCATGTCCACCAACAAGTTTGGAGGTGGTTCCCTGTTAAGATCCATAATTTATGTTCCAGGTTTATTGAAAACGGAGTAGCCTGTCTCTCAGCAGCTTTGCGTACTCCGGCAAACCAACACAAATATCATTCCCCTGGCTACGAACTTGAAAAGGGAACTCCCTCTCGCCCTCCCAGGGGCCCCTAAGCAAAATTCATGCCCGGTTTTGTGCGACCCCGACACCCCTACCTCCACCCGAAAAAATGCCCAGATTTGAGCCCGATGTTCAGAAGCATGCCTTCGGATGGTGATCCTGGTGCCCACCCAAACAAATACCATCAAATACCCTCCCACCAATTAACTGGAAGACTCGTTTTCTTTCAAAGGGACCCCCAGGTCAGGTTCCATGTTGATTGGTGGCTGGGTATTTGCCCCAAATAAACACAACCCCCGCCCCCAACCCAAAAAAAAACTTTAAAAAAAAACCTACGGAGCCACGCAGCGTCGCATGTCGATCGGAGCTTGATCGGCTGCCTAGGCTGAAGCTCGGCCGCGCATCCGCGCTGGCAGGCCTCGCAGCACTTACCCATTGTGGTGGGTGTGTGCCCTTGAGGGGCAAAGTAAAACCACCCACAAGCCATGATGATTGAATTTACAACTTGTTCCCTGCTTGCAATATTTCGGGCATCCACAGGGTTTTGAATAATGTTAACCCCGAAATAATGAACCCCTGGTTGATTATTAGGGGGGCGTGTCCCCTTTTAGTAGGGATGCATTATTTTTGGAGGGAACACCCCCCTATTAATGGGACGGGTTTACTAATCCTGGGTCAACATTACTCGTGCTTCGCAGGCTGCAAATTTTCATGGATGTGCAAGGCTTCGTGCTGTGTGTCCAGCATTTGTTTAAAAGAGGACCCCTGCTTTGCAGTGTTTTCAAGGGAAACTGGAGGAAAAACCCACCCCATGTTGGGGTCCTGACGAAATCCTGCGCCAGTTGGTGTGTCCCAGTAGGGCTTCATCCAGCGAGGGAGTTTGTAGCCTTCCACAGGCCCCCTCGTATCTTGCAATTTCTTGGATCCACAGGGCTGAGATGAATGACCAAATAGAAACATAGACTTTGGGCCACAACGAACAAACCTGCCAAGAAAAAAGCAGAGCGTTTGCCACTTATGGTACATCCAGGATGTGCGGGGCAACGCCAATTTGACATACCTGGGTGCCTTTTTGAGTTGCTACCCTCTTTTTGGGGTAGTGTAAGTTAAATGAAACAAAATCACCAAACCAAGCTGATATTTGGCCATGGGTCAAAATCCTGTACCCCCAGTGAACATCCCAATCCCCACTAAAATAGACTAAAATGGGTGGTGCACCTACACCATTGGTTTTGACCCACAGCCATTTGGATCAGGGGCCGAACCGGCGCGATTTGGCAACTCCCACAAGCT